AAAGATTTTTAAGATTCTTTTTCTAATTATCTGGAGGTGTCACTTATGTGTGTGATATGGGCCCTGCATTATCCTGAAAAATTCAGAGCTAGATGTATTAAATTCTTTCTATTCTCATAAAAATGTTTTAGCTATCAATAGCTAAATGCTAGTTTACAAATATATTTACTCATAAAAGTTTAGGAAAATTACCTTCAATGCTTCTAAGGACAAAAATCCAAAGTGTGAAAGGAAAAGGCGTGCTGTTTGGAATTCCTGGGCAGGAGGTGGGGGCTTACAATCCGTAACTGGATCAGGAAAACTTCTCTTCTTCAATTCTTCCTCGCTTTGTTGTTCAAGGTGTATTTCATAAGCAATCTGCTGGGCCATTCCATTCCTTAATTTTTCATGTCTCTCTTCTAACTGAAATAAGCCAAATATTTAATCTTTTCAAACTATTATAAAAGAAATAGGATCATTCTTAATTCTAAAATGAAAATAAAGCTACAAGCAACAAAGTAAGTAAAGATAATTTTCAGAGACCAACACTGAGTTTCAATTCAATACAGTGCATGCAATGAGGCAAACATGTTTCAAGGTTAAAACAAATACCAAAAAAACTGCCCTATAGCCTCAAGAATTGCTTTTCATCTTCACCCTGTAAATGAAAGCACTGTCTCTGCTTCCCTTCAAGAAAAGGGGCAGAGTTGTTACTCTCATCCCTCTTCCAGACCACTGCCTATCTTCATTTTGCAGTGACCCCCCACATGTTTTGAAGTCTTTATCCATATGGATTACTCCACTAATTACTCTGAACTTCCCCTGACCCTTCCGATTCCCTTCCAATCAAGTCTAGTTTAAAATTCACCTTCTTTGGTGATCCTTCTAACAACCTGCCTTATACAGGGTGGGAAAAAAATAGGTTTACAGTTGTTCATATGGAAAATAATACAATAATAAATAATAATACAAGAATAAAGTGCTTTACATACAACTGTAAACCCACTTTTGCCCCACTCTGCATTTCTATAATCCGCTCAATCCTGATAACTTTTGGCCCTCTATAAAGCACACTTTTATATCTCAGATGTGCTGAACTTTCAAGAGTTATAATTCTGAAATTCCCTTCTCCAATCATAAGCCCCCTTTACTGCTACCACACCTTCACTTTCATCACTAGGAGGTATCCAACCCATCCCTATATTTTCCCAGGCCATTAGCATCCTCTGGCTTCATCTACTTCCCAAACAATTCTAAACCCCCAAATATGTTAATACCCTTTCTTAAGCATAGAAATGGCTGTTGTTCCTTATTTTCCCATATTCTCATTCCTGTTAATCTCTACACCAAATTTTTTGCTTATGCCTCCAGATCCTAAGGACTTTTGAATGCCTCCAAATCCTAAGGACTTTTGAAGTTACTTACAACACAGTAAGTAACGTCATTACAAACAATGCAACTTAACCTTACATGGGCTGCCTGGCAATTTTAAGAGCCAGCTTTGATTCCCTATTTTACTGCTAAGAACTAAGATTAAAGTTTACATAAACTCCTTAAATTTTCCTCCTTTCTACCTCTAAATGTCTCTGAACCTTTATCTACTCTCTCCTTTTCTCCTGTCTTACCAGGAGTATCCCCTGTCTGGATACAATAATATAGACTCTTGACCCTACTACCTCTAGGGCCTTACTCTATTAATCATTTCCCTAGCCCATCTTATAGTGTTAACAGACACAGACTTTCTCCACTGGTTCCTTCTTGTTGACCACTAAGCATGTTCATTTTCTTCTTATCCTTGAATTTTTTTAAAAAAGAAAAGCAGCACTAGCCAGTTTGGCTCAGTGGATAGAGCGTCGACCTTGCAGACTGAAGGGTCCCGGTTCAATTCCGGTCAAGGGCACATGCCTGGGTTGCAGACTCGATCCCCAGTGGGGGGAGTGCAGGAGGCAGCCAATCAATGATCCTCTCTTTCTCTCTCTCCCTTCCTCTCTGAAATCAGTAAAAATATATTTGAAGAAAAAGAAAAAGAAAAAACCTAGCCTTGCCTTTCCTTACTAGGCTTTATCCACTCTGTATCCTTCCCTCTACTGCTAACAGTATGGATTATATTCACTGCCTCTCATTAAACTTTCACTCCACAGCTCCTTATACTCTGTTGCCAACTTTAATACTCCTTTGAACCTACTCTCAAAGGGCAGGTACAATTTCATGCCAAAATCCTGGAGCCTCTTCTTAGTGCTCCTTCTCCCTTATCTCCCTAGCACTTGGTAAGGTAGGCAGCCTCCATTTCTGCCCTTCTAGTCTCTCATGCCCTGACATACCTCTAGCCCCAACTTCTTAAAATTCTTCTCCTTTGAACTAAAATATCAATTACTTAATCTAATTACTTATCTGAATTTATCTAAAGCCAAATACATTTTTCCTGTCTTCTTCCTAATGCCCAGATTTCTATAAATGGTACCAATATCTTCAATTATAACACAACTAAAACTCAAGCTCAAAAATCTAAAGTTCTTTGGCTCTTTTCCTTCTCTCATCAAGACAGCTTGGACCTACCTCTACAATACATTCCAATGTTTTAACTTCCACTACCAGTGAGGTAGTCCTTCCTTTCTCCTGCCTGGATTGTCATAATAGTCTCTGAATTGGTCTCCTTTCTCCAAATGTCCTCCACTAGAGTCTAATCATGTCACCACACGACTGAAACAGGCCTATGCAGCCCAGTGACCTCTCTCTAAGAGATGCCAGTTCTGTTCAGTCAGCCACAATCTAAACTTGTCTTACTATATAACCTCCTGGATGACAGAGATGCAAATCATCTTATGAATCGCCTCCAGTAACACTAAAAAAAGGCAGTGTCTTAAGCCTGGAAGTTAAGAATGTTTATAGTCATTCTCTTAACAACAGCTGACAATAATTCATCTTACTTCTTCAGTGACGATTTCATGCAAGTCTGGAATGCTCAGATCTGCTTTCACAAAAGGAATCTTATCCACTTCTTCAGGAAATGGTCGATGTTTCACAGTATATTTAAATCCAACATTATTTTTGGGAACTGGACGAGGTTCAGGCACAAAAAGCTGTTAAAATAAAACAAATAACATTATGTTTATTACATTTGGTGCCATCTATAATGACATGTATTTCCCTGGTCTCTTAGATGCTTATGTTTCTTTAGGATTATATAACACAAGAACTCAATAAGAATCTGCAATTACCTTTGATAAATAGCCTGTGTACCGGTGCACTCTATTATATATTTGTAAGATTGTTCATCAAATTATTATAGATTTTGTGACTGGTAAATGGGTTGTGGACCTCTATTGCCCAGGCCTGAATCTCCTATGTTCAGCTGGAAAGCCAATGGGTGAGGCATTTCAGAGCTTAAGTCTCAAATTTTCTTCTTCCCCAAGACTTCTCAAATCATTCCATAGAATAAAGTACAATTTAGGTCCACTGGGCATCACTACTCAGGGAGTTCAATTAGAATCTTAGTATGGCTTAACTGAAAGAGTATGGGCACCAAATCTAGGTCTTCATGGCTTTAAATACCTACTTTTAACATATACAAGCTGTGAGACTTCTGTTTTTACATCTAAAAAGAATGTTGTAAAGATTAAATAAAAATGTACTTGGCACATATTAAACCATCAACAAATTTCAGGTCCTTTCCTAATCTCCTTTCTTCTCAGTCTTCTTTTTTTTTTTTTTAAATATATTTTATTGATTTTTTACAGAGAGGAAGGGAGAGAGATAGAGAGCCAGAAACATCGATGAGAGAGAGACATCGATCAGCTGCCCCCTGCACATCTCCTACTGGGGATGTGCCCACAACCCAGGTACATGCCCTTGACCGGAATCGAACCTGGGACCTCTCAGTCCGCAGGCCGACGCTCCATCCACTGAGCCAAACCGGTTTCGGCTCTTCTCAGTCTTCAATGCTTAAGTACTACTGACAGAATGTGAGCCTCATGATGTTGCATGTGCTCCTCTCAAAGAGATGAACACATCTCACTCAACAGAGACATATAAGATATTAAATGGTTTTAGACACATACTCTAATTGCCCTTAAATGCTAGTGAAATTTTATTAAGTCATGCTTTAAACAATTTTTAGTAACGTAAGTAAAAACTTACAATGTGCAGTATAAAAAATGACTCACATTCTATTTAAGTATTATTGTGTACAGAAAGGAAAAAAAGACTGGGAGGAAATCCACTAAAATATTAACAGTGGCTATATACTTCTAAAGAGGACACAGTTGATTTAAAATTTCTTCATTATCTGAACTTTCCAATTCTTTTCTCCCATTAGCAAATTTTATTCACAAAATTATAAATGTTATAAATAAAATAAACTGCACCCTAGCTGGTTTGGTCAGTGGATAGAACGGACTGAAGGGTCCCAGGTTCGATTCCGGTCAAGGGCACATGCCTGGGTTGTGGGCTCGATCCCCAGTAGGTGCTGTGCAGGAGGCAGCCGATCAATGATTCTCTCTCATCATTGATGTTTCTCTCTCCCACTCTGAAATCAATAAAAATATATTTAAAAAAAAAACTGTGCCACTTGAAAATAAGATTTCATTCAATTATACAGCATATTAAGAAAATTAGAGAGCACATTACCAATTATATGGGAATAAATCATTTGAAACAAGTCCTGTTACCAGGGAGATCAAAGGTCTCTAGCCAAACTCTTTGGCATGCACCTGAGTTTTATTATATTTATTTAACATTCCCGGGCGGGAAGCAAAGGAAAGGCTATAGGAGAATGGGGGGGGGGGGGGGGGGGGAGACAATTGTTCAGAACGGTAGTTCTTAATTATAAGTGGATACCAGAAACACCTGGAAAGCTTTTTAAAAATACATCTGCCTTGAAGATGTCTTTAAAGAGTAATTAGTGAATCTAAAAGTCTAGGCTCCTAAGATCATTTAGATGTAAAGCCCCAGACTGAGACCCTGGTTAGGATCAAAAATATTTATTTTTTTCTGTGACTTTTGTGGGAACTTTTTAACCTTTAAATCATAGTGTACACACATGCACATGCACACATACATATCCACACACTCACGCCTAGTCACTTCCCTGTAACTTCTGATGGATACCTTCTGATTTGCTTTTGCTCCTCTGGGTAAAAGGCAAAGCTGTTGTGCCCATGCAAGTCTTCCAGACATTCCCCGAACCAGCACAGTGACAGAGGGGAAAAAATCATCTAGAATAAGAAGATGTAAAAGGTTTTATTTCAGACAATCATTTAAAATACACCTGTTATCAACTGCAGAGCTTCTAATAAAGCCCAACACAGTGTTTCCCAAACTTTCATCCTTTGTGTACCACCTCTGTGGTTTCTCATATCCATGTAGTCTTATTTTATATGAACCACTTTCTTTCCTTTTTTTTTAACTTAAATTTATTTTCAAAGGACACTGTATATCTCTACTTTAAATAGAAAAACCATAATTTTGGTGTGCTAATTATGTATTTTTTTAACACATTTAAAAATACATAAAATACTAACTTCATCTCACATACCTCCAATGGTACACACACACATTTTTGAGAAACACTGTCCTGGCCAATATTTTTAATTCCAATGTTGGGAATAACCCAAGTGCAGGAAGACAGACTAGACTGGTGCTTGCAGTGCTGCTATATTCACCCATGTCTTTGTGTACCACTGTCCACTGAAGGCAGGCACTGTTCCATCCCACCGCAAGTTCAGGGGCAAGAAAAGGTAGGTAAAGAACTCAGGATGGACTTCCTGAGTAACCCAGATCCTTCTTCTTTTCTTAGTCTCCAGTGGTGGAGTCAAAGTTGTTCACAATTCTCTCTCATTTCCTCTATTAGCTATTACAATAAACTATTAAGATATCCTTGTAAATCTGTAAATCCTAATTGTTTTTTTTTTATTTTTGGTAGATTTCTGATGAAATGTAATTGCTTGGAATGAGAGTAGGGGAATCCTAAAAATTCTGGAAAAGGCCAGGACACCTAGAGGGGATACTGGGATTTTACAGACTCCTCAGCAGGCTGCTTAGGAGTAGAAGGAATCATAATATTAGGCAGAAGACAGGGAATAAGAGTCAAGCAAACCCTAGGTCTGGGATAGAGAAGGAAGAGAGAAGACTTGGGACCAGCACTTCTGGAGTTGGGCAATTATTAAAAGCCCCATCTATTTCATATTAAAATCTCTGTATCTTACCACAACACAATGGGAACCTATGATGATATTCATTTACCCCTGAACTTCGGGGAAATGTCTAATTTTTCATTTTTATGGATTTATGAGATCCTATTTGTATATTCTCTCAAGAATTTGCATGGGACTCTAAGACCCGTTCACCTTTGCGAAGGTAAGAAGGCAAATCTTTAAGTGAGAAAACCCTATCACTGAGGGGCAATGATAACAAAGGGACGGTATGAGGTTCAGAAAATTTTGATTCTAGTTCTAGTCATTCTTCTCAAGTGGACAAGCCTCAGTTTCTTCATCTGTAAATAAGGGAACTGTACTAGGTAATTCCCTGGGTCCCTGTATGCCCACAGATTTTGTAATCTTCACTTTCTTTCGCCTTTCTAACAGTAAGAGTCTGAGAACATGCTTCCTTTATATACTGGCTTTACATACATCAGGAAAAAAATGTTATTTTCAGTAGTCTTGCTTATAGTGGTAATCACATACTTTGAGATGGTTTATATTTAGGGGAGGAGGAAGAAGAGGAAAACAGTGAATGTTGTGTCCACAGAAAATCATTGAAGGGTTTTCAGGGCACTGGCACATGGTCAGATCTGTATCTGAGGATGAATACAATGGTAGTAGCAAGAAGGTTGGAGATAAGGTTAACAAATTTCGGAATTGGAAGGAGAATGTATCAGACCAGACAGGAAACCACAGCAATAATCTAGGTAAGAAATAATAAGGCCCTGCATTTGAATATACGGGGAGAGCAGTTTAATATGGAATAGATGGGGCCTTTAATTACTGCCCAACTCCAGAAGAAAAAAGAAGAGTCACTGGGTAGGTAGAAATCAATTATATAAGGGAATAACAGAAAAAAACAGTCAAGACAAAGATGACTCCTCAAATTTCCACCTCTAAGGGTGAGACCAGTGACTGAAATAGAACACTGTGGAGTGGGGCAGGATCCAAAGTTCAAGAAGAAAGGAAAAGTAATAATGATTTCTAAACATAGTAAAAAAAGAACAACAGAAAATGGCCGACTAAAATAAACATTTTATAAAACTATAGAGCTCTTTTCTGGTATTCCAGATACACATTAAGGGCCTCTAAAAGATTCTATATAATATGTACAGTGGGACCTTGATTTACAAGTGTCCCGACTAACGAGTTTTTCGAGATACGAGCTGTCTCTCGGCCGATTTTTTGCTTTGAGTTGCGAGCTAACATTTGGGTTACGAGCCAACTTCAGATACCCCACCGCTAGTTGGCGCAGCGAATGTCACAGTGAACACCACAACATCAGCCCAGCATCACGTGTCTCACTCATTCACTGTTGATTTGACATACGAGTATTTGAGTTATGAGCTCCGTCACGGAACGAATTAAACTCATAAGTCAAGGCCCCACTGTATATTCCATTTTCTGACCTTTGCTTTTAATTCGCTATTATCCCACAGCTAGACATCTTTCTGACAAATTCACAATTGCTTCGAATTTGCATTCTTTCCTTCCCTGAAGGAAATAGCTTGCTCGTACTGATGAATATGATGATACAGCTGTTGAGAAAGCCCAAAGTGCTGAAACTTACTCTGTTCATTTCCAAGAGGCTGTTCCAGCATTGCCAGGATGACACTGTTATCCAGGACAAAGTACCGGAAGCTATGCTTGTTTATGGTTGGCAGCCTGGAGTATTTAATCAAAGTGGTCTCATTCACCAAACTACAAGGAGAGGCAGGACCACTGGGTGAAGGAAATGCACCAAGCAACTGCATAATACTATGGAGAATACAAAAGATAACAGTTAATTCCCACAGTAAAATCTTAAGTTTACCTCATGTATCAATGTGTCCTTCTGCACTTTGGATTTTAATCGACCCGGCCATGCTTCCACTTTGCGGGTCAGATTTATTCCCTGTGGTGGACGCCTTGATGTGCCATCCAGATTGCCCCCTCCACTGAAAGATTCACTACCCTAGTTGCAGGAAGATGGTGGCCACAACTTTCAGCTGATCTCTTTCCAAGAGGTGCCCTGGGCCAACAAGAACCACCTCACCTAAGATCACAGCTACCTCCTGGGCCAGTCAATATCCAATGAATGGCTGATGCAGGGGTACAAAGTTTCAGTCCTCTTGCCCCAATTTCAGAAAACTCTGAAGTGCCAACTCAGTTCCAGATCTCTTTGTTGTGACTGCATCACAGTTTAGTTCTTCCCTATGTGGGAGTGAAGGAATATTGCTCACTTCTCTCCTTCATAGGGGTTGATCCTGAGAGCACTTTCCAATAAACTTTTTTGCAAGCAAATTTCTCTCTCGGAGTTTGCTACCCAGGGAACCTAATCAACCACACTTCCAAAGCACCTAAAGATAAAGATACATTAAAAAATTTTGTGTGTTTCATCTTTCAAAATTATGCTAGCTAAAGCATTCTAGAGCTAAAAAAGGATAAACCAAACCCGCTCAAATTTTCAGATGAGGAAACTCAGGCTCAGAAGAGATAAGTGATCATTTAAAAGACCAGAGTAGCTATTGTCCTCATTTTCCAGATAAGAAACTTGATTCATTAATAGTTACACTTTGCAAAACTGTTATAATTATCAAATGAGAATATATAAAAGAACTGATTTGGACATTGGAATTCAACTGATCAAGCCTTAACATTCAGATATGTTTATATTCATAGAGATTTTTGCATACATTCAACAAATAACATACATAACACTTTACACATATTATTTTATTTAGTTACCATAGCAACCCTATGAGATAGCACTATTATTCCCATTTTATAATGAAGAAATTGAAGCACAGAGAGAATGTATCTTGTAATGAAAACATAAGATTTTATCTTGTGGTCCTAATATTATTACCTGACCTTTCATATGTAACTCATTTGGAAAGGTAATATTCCCCAACACCACTTTTATCATCTCAATCCTCACCTTGAGTAGCATCTCCCTTTCTCTTTAATTCTAATGCTTGAACTCAAACATTTCTGATAATGAAAGGCAACATTGCTCAATATATTTTTTCCTTCTATTTCTCTCTTCCTAAGAGGAGGACTATCTAAGAATTTCAAGGACCAGAAAAATTTCATGATGGATCAAGCCTAAGGTTCTGTGAATAATAGGTGACATACCAGTAATGGGAACATGTGGATTTGGTTTTCTAAAAACGGGATGAAGATGGCTGTCACAAAGCATATGAATCATGTGAGCTTGCTTGTGTTCTATGCAAGGTTTTAAGACATTATCAAATAGGTTGCTCACCAGGGAATAGGTCACTAAGATCAAATCTCACCAGCCTAACCACATTTTCTCTTCTTGATGGTGACTAAACTGGAAAGGCAGAGAATTACTTTGCAATCAAGACATGTGAGTATTTGAGTGTATCATGATAAACCTACAGATAAGATTTTAAAATGCCTGTGAAACTGAAGGAAAATTTCCTATGATGTGCTTTGTGAGTTTACCTTTCCTTCAATATTTTTATCAGTGTCTTTGATTAGGACACACAAGGTAGGCTCATTAAATCTGTAGTTGACCAAAAGTTGAGCTGCAGAGTTAATATACCAAAGCTGGGATGCAAAAAAATCTTAAAGGACTAAAATAAATAAATAGATAGATAGATAGCCAGCTAGCTAGATAAATAAAGCAAACCTTACAGGAAAAAAATTTCAGGTTTAAATATAAAGTTCTACGTTCAGGAGGCAGCTGATTGATGATTCTCTCTCATCATTGATGCTTCTATCTCTCTCTCCCTCTCCCTTCCCTCTCTGTAAAAAAATCAATATATTTAAAAAAATAAATAAAATAAAGTTCTGTACATTATATCCAAATGCCCTGCAACAGATGAAAGACTCAAAAGATTTTGCAGAATTAATGCAAATCAATAGGTTGCCAAAAATCCAATGTAATCTCCAAGAACATTTAAATGAAAATATAATATTTTACAGAGTCTAAAATATCAGTCCACATCTAGCATATTATACTCAGCAAATGATCTTTAAGAGGTGCATAGTCAAAGCTACGCCATTAAGAGGAGAATGACCAGGACGACAAAGGTACTTGGTTCCCCTGTCATATAAAAAATAGTTGAAAGTACTGGAAGAAATGAACCAGAGAACGAATATTGTCTTTCAGACATACTGTTTAGAAAAAAAATTTGAATCAGAACCAATGAGTAGGAGTTAAAGTGGGAGAGATTTCAGTTCAATGTAAACATCAGGTTTTTAACAATTAAAATGAAATGGGTAACCTTGGGGGTCAGATATCCCAGAATCAGAAGCTAAATAACAAGTCTGTCTTAAAGTGACTTAAGCGGAGGGGCTGCTGAAATGACTTCCAAGAGCCCTAATTCTGGATTTATATTAGTACACCAAGGGGGAAGACCCAAGCAGGCAATCTATACTCCATTATTGTCTACTGTGTGTTCAGCATGGTGCATGGTGCATGGTGCACGGTGTGAAGAACAAACTTAGCCTCTACCCAGGTTGAGAGGAACACTGGCATGTATCAGACATAACCAGGTATGAGAATTCCATGCTCTACAGTAGGGTCAGACTGAGCATCCAGGTACAGAAAAGAGTAATCATGCAGAAGCAGAACAACCAAAGAAGGTCCCATGGAGGTAGCTAGATTTGAGGTGAGCACTGAACAATCGAAGATGTGGCCTAGAGAAGAGGGAAGTCCTGAAAACCAGGGGTCGTATATAGACAGGTATGAGTAAGGCCTGTTCACGACCATGAGTGGCTTTCATGGCAAAACAGATGTGCTGTGAAAAATCAGACAGTTCAAGTGGGGGAAGAATAAAGAGGCCCTTGAATACCAGACCACAGCATTCACAGAACATTCAGTTTTCTATCATTAAAGCAGCAGAATAAGAAGTTCAGCAATAGAATGCAAAATGAACTAGAAAGGTAGGAGACTGAAAACAGGAAAATCAGGCAAGAAGAAAGGGTCTCGGCCAAGATGATATCTGAGGTTAGAGAAAATGGAGGAAACACCTTCGAAAGTAAAGTTTATTAGACTCAGTCACTAGCTTCATATGGGGAATGACATATAAATAAAAAAAGCCAAAGTTCTGTGTGCAAAACTGGAAAACAGCAGTGATACGACATAAAGCTATAATTGTAAAGGAACAGAGAAATTTGGTTTTGGACATATCTCACGATGATAGGACTATTCAAAGCACTCTTCAAGATTGGATAAGTTGCCAGTAGAGACAAGGCTAGATTCGGGAGTCGCATCCCAGGGCTCTCTTCTTTTATAATGCTTTTAAATCTATTTCTATTAGTACACCAAGGGGGAAAAACCATCCAGGCTCAACTGTGGTCTTCTCTCTGAACGTTTATTATTTCCAGTACTCATTCATATTGTTCTGATTTTCTAGCTATTAGCCAAACCTTAAAAAAGTCATTAAGAGCCAACATTAGCATAGTAACAGGACTAAACTAAAGCCAGTACACTTTTAAAACTACTGAATGACCTAAGCCCATGAGAAACAGAAAAAAATCCAACTTTATTGTATATATCCTAAGTTATCAACACACCACTGAACTCAAAAGATTCTGAGATCTTGGTAAGGGCTGATTTATGTACATATCTTCAAGCAGTCTTATCTACCACATTACTAAGCCCAAGATGAGCCAACCCAGACTGACATGACATTGCTCCTTATTGGTCTGGGTCTTCATCTACATTGATCCTGTGGTAAGCACCATCTTTCCACCTGTACTGATTCAACCTAATCTTCTCCACTTACCTCTTCCTCACAGTTCATAAATGTGCCTAAATTGCCTTCTTTACATCCTTCTACTTTCATCACTTATCAGCCAAACACAGGTCTCTCAACCCTTTCTGTTACTTTTTACCAACCTATCTCTATTCCTTCACTACTAAAATACTGAACAGTAATCTTCTCTTGCTGACTTACCCAACCTAGAGTCTGGCTTATAGCTCAAACATTACTCATCCTCTAAAAGTTAGGTCCAATGTCATTTTCCCCAGGAATCTTATTTCAATTTGCCCTTATCTGGAAGTATTCATTTCCTCATTCCAACTCCCCAGCATTTTATTTATATTTCCTTCTCTTTGAGCACTTGTTGTCCATGTAATAGTACAGCTACTTGTGTTTATATTTTACCTTCCCTAGTGGATAAGAAGCTCTTTGAGGATGGTAAATCTGATTTTTCATTGTGATCCTATTACCAGGTCATAAGAGGGAGTTCCTAAAACTTGGATGAATGAACCTTTAATATCCTATCTAATAAAAGAGAAACATGGTAATTGGTGTTCGACCGCTACCCTTCCCATTGGCTAATCAGCGAGATATGCAAATTGACTGCCAGCCAAGATGGCAGCCAGCAGCCAGGCAGTTTAAAGTGAACGTGAGGCTTGCTTGCTTCAGTGATGGAGGACTCCAACGTTCCCTGCCTGCTGCTGCAGGCCTGTGAGCTA